GATATAAAAACATTAAAACTGTCTCAAGAAAACTTATGTAGTGCACTAACATGCCGCTGCAAATAATATTTCTTCTACAAGAAAAGCTTCACAGGAAAGGGCTAGGACAACTTTTAAAAGAAGAACAAAGAGACAGTGACAACAAATGAAATTCTAATATAGGGTAATTCGAGGGGACGCGACCATGGTTTACTTTTTTGACAATTTCTGTGTTACTGTGAAAGCAAATGACTTCAAATTTGAAGGAGAATGTTTTGCTACACCATAGATTTCACATATCAGTCAATAAATGCTAAAGACCTTCACAGTGAATTTTTGTTGTTTTATCGATGGATGGACATTTCTCTCCTTGAAGGGTGAGGTGAGAAGGCCATACTGTGTAGGGAGTGATGGCCATACCATTTTTTACAGACATTACGTATAAAAAAATAATTTTTATAAAACATTTATTAAAAAACACAAAAACAAAGAACATTCGTCATAAAAACTTCAAATAAAATAAACAAATTTAACAAAAAAAAAGGTGGGTACAAATCCAAGCAACTAGTAAAAATGTTAAAAAGAACGTCCAGATTATACGTTTAATTAAAAATCGCATATGTAATTTTTCGGTGTATTTTTTCCACTGCATAATTTGTGCACCCAAGTTCCGCATGAAATGCAGCGATACCAGAGATCCGATTTCCCTTGTTCTCCACAAATTATACATGTTTCATCATCAGATTCATCATTAGTACACTCGAATGAAGAATCTGAAGAATATTTTCTCTTCTTTCGGAGCGAGGAAGATGGTGTTGTTTTGTAAGATTTCTTGCCACCATTGGACGCTGTGACCTCATCTTACCGCTGGTTTTTTGACTCGTATTTTGCTTCTTTACCTGATTAATTCTACATTTTTGTATATGCTCTGGTGAAGTTAATAAGCAAGCAACACTTTTTGCTCGCTTTTTAGCTCGTTCCACAGTCAGCTTCGGTACTTCCGAGATGTTTTCTAATATTTTAAAAGGAGTTTCTTTTTCTTTTTGTTTTTCTGCATGTGATGTACTGGGTTGTCTCTCACCTTTTGTCTGGTTTAATTCCACAGCCAGCATATCGATATCTGAGAAGCTTTCCACTGCTTCATGGCAGGTGTATTTGTCTTGTTCTTCTTCTAGAGAGTGCGAGGGACCAGCTTGCGGTTCATCGATGGTTTGCTGAATAGAGTTATGGTCTTGTTTTTCAGGACTTGCTATAACTTCGTGTTTTTTCTGAATATTACTCTCGTATGATTTACGAACTCGAATCTCAGGATGCCGACGCAGAAATAGTTGAGGCCAAGGATACCCAGCTTTTCCAGTAACTTTGTTAAATCGATTTGGGATTTTGCATTGCTCAGCAAATTTAAAAGCAATGTGGCGAATGTCGTTTCTTGTTAGCAGAAATCCCATTTTCTGCACTTTTTTAATATGATTTACAATTTTTTTTCATCTGCATCCCCAAAAAGACCACTAGGTCCCAATCTACCTTTACTTGTATTATTTGTTTTTAAACGTCGTTCTAATGTTTTTCGCGGAATGTCATATTAAATAGAGGCACGTCGACCTTTATTTACAGCCTCCATTGCTTGTATTAGACCTTCTTGGGACCATAATTCACGTTTATGTAATGCCTTTCGTTTATGTATGATCGACATCTGAAAAATCAATCATAATTATGGGATAGATAGCCATGGTGAATTATCCTCAAAAAATGTTGGCCAACTCCTCTTTCTGTAGAGGAGAGATGACCATAGTCTCCACGGGCGACACATCCACATTTCATGTCGGTTTGAGGTTATATTAATCGTGAGACATTATTTGAACACTAAGGGAACAAAATAGAGCAATCAAGAATGTTATACACGATATTATTGTACCAGAAAGTGGATGCTTAAAAACTTTTGGTTGTCATATCTACGTAACACCTGTAAAATTTACACCTTCAGAAGTTTTGGCTCCAGAAACTATGCACGAACAGTAGTATCTATTAGTGGGTTGCTTGTATAGAGGCGTTGGCCATCTTTACTCTATGGCGATATTCCCTCGAATTACCCTACATTATTTTGTAATGTTACAAAAGCTCCTTGAGAAAATAATCTTGCCCGCTGCAGTCCCCCAGTTGAAGTAAAGGGTGTTTTACGGCGAGTAGCGGGGACGCTTTGATCTGGTCCACAAGGTCGTAGCCAGTGCGTCGCTAGGAGTGTTTACAGCTAGTAAAAAAATTACTTCTATGTTACCTACTATATTACTTCAAATAATAATACTCGATGCCCTTTTTAATTTTTCAACCACAGGACCACAGATTTGTGATCTTGAAATGTTATATTATGTTGATATAGTCCAAAAGAAAAATATATTCATAATCAAACTTTCGCCGCGACAGCACTGGATCTAGCGTGTGAGATACAATTCCGCGCGTTGGTTATAAGTTATAACTCAACAATTCTCACTGTAAAGGAATCGTACAATACACCAAGTCGCAGACCAAGTGATTCGCACCAATAGCTTGATTTGGTAAGATTTTAAACCTCACTTCATTTATGTGTCAAAACAGGGTGATATAAATGACAGATACACTATGTTTATTTACTTGATTGTATGGTGTTCCTCTAAATTTTTACCACATTGAATTGTGGCTAAATGCACGTCTGGATATAGCTTACAATATACGAATCTCCTAAAAATTTTAACCCAAATCACGTTTCTTTGTCCTTAAGTCTAACATACGACTTTATGTAGTATTTCACTAAATGAAAAAGTAGGAACCATTGGTGTAATAATGCATGCTGCAATGCAGACTATATATTTCTACCCCTGATATGAAAGACAACAAAAGTTTGAAAGGGGATATGCTTTCCGAGGTTTTTTGTTTATAAACCAACAATCAGCATATATTTATTAATTCGGAGATATTTTATTTATAGTTACAGTAAAAATTTGTATCAATGCAATCTTGAAATACATTTTTATTTATACTTGATAGACAATGGTACACACGACAGTTATCGAAATTATAGAATATATATTTAGAGAACAACAAAAAGTTATTCTACGCACACGTATTTGCAATCCTTAAATCAGGCTACATTTAAATAGAGGGTTTCTATTAATTATTATTATAGGGTCGAAGCAGGTCATGGAAGTGTGCCGTCTGTCACTTTATATGTGATTTACTAAATTCCCAAAGACGCACGACAAACACCATACGCATCTGTATAACTGGTTGCCTAAATGTTTCATATCTTATGTTGTTAAAAAATAAAACTAATTCAAAATACGATAAACATAAACAAATTTATTGTGGTTAAACATCACAGTAAATGTCGAAAATGTTCACCAATTTGTCCAAGGCACATGGTCACTCTCTTTTTCTTATTTTCAAAAATGTTCTGTAACATCCTTTCGTCAGTGCTTTGGATCCACTGTTCAATTTCATGTTGTAACTCTGCCAATTTATCCACTTGTCGCTGAAACACTTTGCGTTTCCCATATCAAAGTATTGAAAACCCTGTGGCGTGAAATATGGGTATGAAAAGGCGTTTACAAAAACATGTGGGTATTCCGCCGACCAATAGCCAGATAAATGAAACCACGCTTATTCACTAAAAAATGTGAGGTCCAGAACTTATCATCATTTAAAGTATTCCAAAAACAATTGCAATATTCCACGCGGCGTGGAGGATCTACTGGTAAAAGTTGTTGCACAATAGTTATTTTGTAACAATACATATGCAGTCGTTTTTTCACTACTTTGTGACATGTGCTCGCAGGAACTCCTAACTGCTGAGACTATGTTGTCAAAAAAGATTTGCGGATTCTGCTGGAGTCGTTGTTTCAAACTAGTAACAACATTCTCGGATACTGAAGGTCTTCCAGGAGATTTCCCTTTGTTGGCACCGCCAATTCAAACAAATCTATTGATTGCATTTTTAATGTGAGCCTCTAACGATGTTTCTTGAATTTGCAAATCAGGGTATTTGACCAGATATTCTTGCTTACAAACGGTTACAGAATACACACACTCTCTGTCTACAAATGTCCCATTGCGATACTAAGACATAACAATGAAAATGTCTTATTCACCAAAATAAACCATTTTCACGGTCTCCGTTTCCTAGCACAAAAACAAAATTTTCGCACGCAAACATCAAGTCTTGAGAAAGACTGCTTTGTTGTTTGGAGCTTGAATCAACTAGAATTATTGTAATTCACGCCTGAAAAATTTTAGAACAATACAAGCCATGACTTTAAATGACGGGTTACAAATAATGACAACTGAGAACCAATGAGGCATACTTTCAGCAAAGCGGGATTTTTTAAATCCATGGCCAAATACGCCCTTAGAATCATTTATATTATAAAAAACATGTATATGTGAAAGCAATTTTTGTGAAGCCTACAAACCATAGATAAAAAACATCTAGAAAAAAAAATTGGTATAAAATTGTTTCGACAGAATTTCCTTCGCACCTCAAGTACAATGAAACATATACAGCAGCATTTTCGTGCAGTATAATACTAAAAATAACAGTATTATATTCCCAAAATTTTCTGGGAAAATGAAGTGATTTAATCAATAAAATAAACTGACTCATTCACTTTTTTTGAGCCACCTGTTTAAGCAAATCTAAAAGATATGAATGCAATGATAGATCACAAGTAAAAATTCATCATATTTTGCACATTTTGGGTAGAATTTATTCCAGAAAATTTTGAGATGACGTCATCATTTTTTTGGGGAGAATACACAGACATATTTGATTAATAATTTACCGTGGTTACAATAACTTTAAAACTTCTGCAAGATTTCAAAGTATTTGTAAGGGGGAGCAGCCAAAGACCGCATGATCCTATCCGGGATAGCCATCAGTAGGGTATAACTCGATGCTTCGATTAGGCAAACACACCGCCTTTATCGTTCTGTGTCAACCCCATCTTGCATCTTGTATTAGGTCTGATTGGTGATAAGCCTGAGGACATGAAATGGGTACGAGAAAGCCAGGCGACACAAAAGGCTGCGGAATACTTGTATGCAACTCCCGACAAAATGCCTTTCAGGGAAAGTGGAAATACTTAGTTGCTGCACCAGTTTCCGATAAGGATTTACGTAAAGCCACAGAAAAATTTTTTGAAGGTCCATGCCAGGTGTGAAGTGACAGAAACGCTCCCGATTATACTGGGACCTATTCCATCGAACTGTATAAGCTTGATTGGAAGTTTCTGAGTCAGTCGTACCGGCATGAGAGGCGAGATGGCAGTGTACTTTTTAGACACAACTTTATGAGAAGGTTGTCGTGATTTCCACCACGGAATTAGTTATTCGTAGAATGAGAATTATAGGTTCTTGTTCAGTTTACCGACACTGATTTATTTTTATTACTTTAAAAAAAATCGTCGATGATTTTTATGTTATCTACACTTAAAAAATATGTGAGAAATTAGATCTTTACATTTACAAAGTTTTTATTTACTGTTTATTATTGTTATAAAAAGTAGGTATATAACTCTTTATATTTGTGTTTAAAGTTTTAGTTTTAAACAATAACTGTCTCACCAAATTAGGTAGGACCATCTTTTCAAAGTATTTTGAGGAGTAGAGGGAGCCATATGCAGTTTTTTTTAAATTGTCGATAAGTAAAAAAAAGCTTGTAATAACAAAATTATCCTGTACGTATAATAGACTAGGATCTTTTTCCTATTACTTTAGCTAAACACAATTTTATAAGCAAGTGATGTGTCACTTATATATCACTTTCACCCTAAAACATCAAAAATTGTAAGGCGCGTCAAGTTATAAATGTTAATTTCTCAATTCTTTTTAGAAGCTCTTTAAAATTACGGTGAATAAAATACTACACAAACCTCTGGGAAAGTGTCAATATTTTCTTGAGCAATAGTTCACCTGTGTCCTTCGGTTAACTACTTTTTCGCTCGAAAGTAATGAAACCGAGGAGGGTGGATTAACAACGGAGAGATAACACGCTGAAATTTGTGGTGCTGACCTTTTTAAATCTAGACACCGTTTACGACTATGCACTCAAGTTAACCACACCCCTTGGTTCGAAACTATTTCTAACCAGTGGCGGAACAATTTGATTTATCATCGGTCATCGAGATGAACCAAACTGAAGCTTGTGAAAATTAAACGTGTCTTTCCAAAATTGTTTGCTTCCATTTCATGATTTACAAAGTTTGCAACTCACCATGCTGAGTTTATAAAAAAAAATTACACATAACGTATAAAGACAGACGGTACGTGGGGGGACAAAATAACTGACATATACGTCTATGGAATACCGGTAAAACGAAAGAATTTTCTAGCCTGCTCGCACGTGCGCACAACCGAGAAACCCAGCGTAAACAATCTTTGATTTTGTCCCAATTTCATATTCCTCGATGTTGATAAAATAGATATTTTTGTATTAAAGATTAAGGGTGTGATGAAGGCGATTTTAGGCAGCGGCGGATTTATAAGCCCGAGGCCCGAAGGGCCAATGGATTATAAGAAGCCGAAGGGTCAAAATCCTCGTTCACGCCCGAAAAGCAATTGAGATTTTTTGTAAAATCGATTAAATCCACCTTAAAGCATTAAAAAAATAAATGGCACAATTCGTTTTCAAAAATAAAGTTATATAGTTGGTTGCCAATGTGCTGGAAAAAACAAAAAAAAAAAAAACATTAAAGTTAGAAACGTTATTGACGTGTTTCACTTAGAAGTTGAATTTGTGATAAAAATATGTTCGAAAAGGGAAAACAAGTATAAATAGCTATTTTAGCTGAAGAAGCAAAAGCTGTACTGTAACACTTGAGTTATTGCTACGAAAGTCAAGAAAAATGTATGAAAAAACTTTCAAAGAATTTTTGCAATGATGCACCCAGAAAAACATCGCTAACCGCCAGATTAATGAAAACGTTTTATTTGTTTGTTTCAAAAAAAGTCGCAAAAATTCTAATGAGAAGAACCTTTATGTGTCAATCCTGCTACTGACCGAAATATACAGCAAAGTCAAGTGTTGACTTTGAAAATAGATATTAATGTGAATGTAAACAAGTTATTTTGTTTATTGTTTTAGTTTTTTCAGTTTTCATTATTTATTAGGTATTAGGTAAAATAGTTATAGCAATTGTTGTTTTTTTCGGCTTTAGGGCACAAAAGGCATTATTTACTCCCTCAAATTACTTCATTTTGATACGATTTTACAAAAAAGCCATTTTTCTATAGTGTACCTACCACGAATTATTCAGTTGGACTAGCATACATGAATGTTGAAATTTAATAATTTATGTATCAGTACCTACCTACCTGCTTTGTATTTAGCCAGTTTTATATTGAGCCGAAAATGATTACTTACACAACCAACGTTTTCTAGGTATTAAATGTCTAATGGATCATACTCTGTAATAGATCTCTCGTTTGCACTAATAAATCTGTATAAAAAAAACTTAGTAACGTCGAGAGAGTGATATAAAACTATCCATATAGATGAATTAACAACTCGAGCAGTAACGGAAGCAAAGATGCACGCACAAACATCTGGTTTCTCCATAAATGTGTTTATTCACAAGTCATTTCCCATCATCTAGTTCACAAGACACGCCGCCAGATTCTTGTCATGAGTTGAGTGCAAGCGACAGAACTTAATGTCTCTACTCCATATTGGCTACAAATATTTCTCTGTTGGGAATACCTAAACTGAGGCACGTGCATTGAAAGTTTTGAGAAATAGACAGGCACAACACTAGGAAAATACTAACGTGCTCTTGACAATTCGCAAAAAAATTTCACTGCGTGTTGCGTCTGCTATTGTGATATTCATTTGTGTTAAAACTCTTACTGCTATGCTCTTTCCACTTTAAAATATTAATCTATTCCATAAAAATTGGTCTAAAGAATTTAGACAGTACTTCCCTCGCTATCGGAAACGTGACTACTGCATGCCTATTATGATTTTTTTTCACAGTACATTTCAAAGCATTCGGTTTTGTAGATCCCATTCATTAATTTTTTTGAGTCACCCGGTATATGCTAATTCAGATATGAATGGAATGATGATTGTAATTCATCTGTACAGACTCATCATATTTTGTATATTCTAGATAGGATTTATTCGGTAAACTTTTGAGCTGACGTCATCAGTTTTTTGGAGAAGATAACCAAATATATTTTGACTAAAAATTTATTATGCTCTTTATAACCTCACAACATCTGCAAGATTTCAGAACATTCGGTTCTGTAGTTCCTGATTAAATCAATAAAATACATTTACGCATTCATTAATTTGTTTGGGTCACAAGAAGAGACTCATCATATTTTGTACATTTTAGATAAGATTTATTCAGCAAAATTTTGTGGTGACGTCATAAATTTGTTAGGGGGGATGAGCAAATACATTTTGATCAAAAACTTACCATGCTTATGATAACTTTTAAACATTTTCAAGATTTCAAAGCATTCGGTTTTGTAGTTCCTGAGTAAATCAATAAAATAAATTTACGCATTCATTAATTTTTTAGAGTCACCCTGTATAACCAAATCCAAAAAATATGAAGGTAGTGATAAATCACAAGTACAGGCTCATCATATTTTGTACAGTTTAGATAGGATTTATTCGGCAAATTTTCGAGCTGACGTCATGAATTTTTTGGAGGGGATAAGCAAATATATTTTGACTAAACATTTACTATGCTTTTTATAACCTTAAAACATCTGCAAGATTTCAAAGCATTCGGTTTTGTAGTTCCTGATTAAATCAATAAAATTAATTTACCCATTCATTATTTTTGGGTCACCCTGTATATGCAAATCCAAAAAATATGAATGGAATGATAGATCACAAGAAGTGACACATCATATTTTCTACATTTTAGGTAGGATTTTTTCAGCAAAATTTTGGGGTGGCGTTGTCTATTTTTTAGGGGGGATGAGCAAATATATTTTGATCAAAAATTTACCATGCTTATGATAAATTTAAAACATTTCCACAATTTCAAAGCATTCGGTTTTATAGTTCTTGATTAAATCAATAAAATAAATATGCGAATTCATTCAATTTTTTGAGTCACCCTGTATATGGAAATTCAAAAAAATATGAATGGATTGATTAATTACAAGAAAAGACTCATCATATTTTGTACATTTTATGTAGGATTTATTCAGCAAAATTTTGGGGTGACGTCATCAATTTTTTGGAGGGGATAACTAAATATATTGTGATTAACATTTTATGATGCTTATCACAAGTGTAAACCATCTGCAAGATTTCAAAGCATTCGGTTCTGTAGATTCCAAATTAAATGTCAAAATGTTGTTTAATAATTTTGATTTTTTTCCAAAAATCTGGACGTTTCGGGTAAAATCTCAATCCAGAGTCATAAACTACATGTATAAGACTATGTTATTTAATACAATTTAAAACCCAATTACTATGTACAATTTTGAAGTGACGTCATCACATTAGTGGTGGGGATGATTAGACAAATTTTGTTTAGCGTTTTACCATCTACATGATATTCCTAATACAAATACAAAATTTGACAACAATCGGCCCAGTACTTTCGGAGATTATCTGTCTAATAAAAATCCGGGACGGTAGACAGACGGACAGACGGACAGACAGACGGAAACGGGAGACCTATTTCTTCGTCTTCTCGGAGTCATGAAAGATCGAGAAAACGTAAAAGTAGAGAGTCGGCCGACGGACTCGATTACAATACTTCCTTTGCTTACGCTCGGGAAGTAAAAAACGAAAAATTGAAAGATTGAAAATTGAAAACTGATGAAACGAAAAATTGAAAAAAGTGAAATTGAAAAAACAAACAATTTTAAATTCGAAACATTGAAAAATTGGAAAAATAAAGAAAATAAAAAATTGAAACAAAAAATTGCAAATGAAAAAATTAAAAATTGAAAACTCGAGAAACTCAAATCGAAAAATTGAATGGAAAAGTTGAAAAATTGAAAAATTTAAACTTGAAAACTTTAAAAAATAAAGGAACAAAAAAATTAAGAATTAAAGAAAAAATTCTACTCAAATAAGCTGCGGGAGTGTTATTTACGCCACTGGTTTTTACTTTTAGAGGTTATCAGAAAACAAAAAACGCTGCACTTCAGGGGCGAGGAAAGTTCTGTTGAAATACCCTTCGACCAATTTTTTATTTTGTGATAATCCCTATAAATAAAAAGTACATATATATAATACAAAGTCACACTAAAAAAAACACTCGGTAAGATTGAGATTCGAACTCACACAGAGCAGTGTACAATTTCTAAATCATCCATTTATCCCGTTGAATGACCAAACAGTTCATGGACACATGAGGTATCGATTACATAAATTGTAATTACAAGGATGCACAAACATAATTTTTGTAAAGTAGTTGTGATAAATATCAAGGAGGATTCATAAACCACCAGTACGGGAGTACATTATTTCAATAAACACATTTGATACAGTTGGAGCATTGATAAGAAGCAAAAAGAAAATAATGTTCGTATTTAGTATCTAATATCTTCAGCTTTACATCATTTTATTATCATTAAAGCTGTCGTAAGGTTAGAACCTGTCATTTCGGTGATCGAGATGCATTGAAGAAGTTTGTTGGTGATGTGGCAACTACGACGAAGGTACTAAGCGGCAATACGGCTTACGCTAGACCCGATTTTTTTATAACTGTAATGCGCGCGCTATCCTAAGATAAAAGTTTTCGACAGTCAGTGAACTATCATTTATTCTGTGACTATCATGTACATTGTTAACAAAACTGAGTGTTATATTTTATACAGAATTTTACCAATTTTAAACACAGTGCAAGGTGAGTTATTTGAATTTAGTTATTCATTTGAGAGTTAAATTGCTTTTATTTTTAATCGGAAGTAACCGTTAATAAGTTGATAACGATCAATTTGATGGTAGTTTTTGTCAAACGTTTCAAATTTAAGCTTTTCACGTTATATTGTGAGGTCTAATTGCAGTAAAAACGCTGCTTTACAAGCAGTTAAAAATTACCCAGTCAGTTAAAAAAACAAAACAAAAACTATCCTTAATATTTTTGCTCTTTCAGATGGCCCACCGCCGGCGACATCCTGAGCTCGTCCCCGCAGTTACTGACCGTGAAAATATCACTATCAAGCCAGGGAAATCTCACCCCATCAAACAGATTTCCCTAACAAAACGACCACCGTTAGACGAGCTAAGCAACAAACTTATCGATAACAAACCCAAAATCAAGAAGTCAGACCCCGCCCAAGACCAAAAAGAAGCCCCAAAGCCCGTCCAACCAGCAAAAAACGAAAACCACTCCATCGTCAAAGCCTTCTCTTCTTCCCAATTAACAACTATTCTTGAACATGACCCTAAAATCTACAATCACCCGCAAATGGCATCAGAATATCAGGACGATATTTTTAAATATCTCCACGAACTGGAACTGAAGTAGGGGAGACCTGTCCAAAACCGTATAGCTAAGCGGAAATGTATATATCTCTGTAATAATACACAATAGAATTGTCAAATCAACATTTTCATTGACCAGTCTTATTAGGTACATAATTGTAAGAACAAAAATCGAAAGATGTAACTTATCTACGAAATAAAAATATTAAAACAAAAACACTTCTAATTACGGTTTTACCCCGTGTACTGTCCAAAACCGTACACAATATACGATTTTGCGCCAACATTCTCACCAAACATTTATTGCACAAAAAATCATCAAGATCATCGGAATCGTAACCTGTACAACCTTCATGGGCCCAGCCATTACAGGAAGTACACTGTACCCAACCCTCATCCATGCGACTTTGACCATATTTTTCAAGACGGTACAGGCAAAGATCTTTACTATCTCCAGTTTTACTTTCTACTTTATCTTTATTTTTTTTCTTGGTTTCTGACAGATTCAACTTTGGTTTTTTAATTTTCGACTGCGAATTACTTAGAAGCTCGTACGGTTCTGCCCCAAGGTAACCTCAAATGAACATTTTGCTCATCACAACAAACACAAAAAAAATCGGTTAAGACAAACACTGAAAATAATAGTAGAAACACATACAATGATATCGTAAATTACGTACTTACATTGAATGCCGTTAGCAGTATACACTTGCAGTGATTATTTAGTTAATAATAATTAGATTACAGCACCCGAAAAATATTAAATTTATTTAATTTTGTAACGAGCGTGGCAGCATTAACAAGTTTTTGTCGACAAATGGCTCTCATTGGTAGATCCCATTGACAGAAGTTTGAGCGGCAAATTTAAACAACCAGCAGTTCTAAGGGCACTATACGGTTTTACCCCGGTATACGGTTTTGGACAGGTCTCCCCTACCCCATAAAACCGAATTTTCTGGAAGACCATCAGTCGACGCCTCGAATGCGTGCCATTTTAGTAAACTGGTTGGTCCAAGTCCACGAGAAATTTAAGTTATGCCTTGAATCCCTACATATATGTATTTCGCTGTTTGACAGGTACCTCCAAGACAACACTCAGGTGGGCAAAGAAAATTTGCAGCTAGTGGGAGCTTCGGCTCTATTGATTGCTTCTAAATACGAAGAGACGCACTACCCGGAAGTCGAGAATTTCGTGTATATATGTGACAACATGTATACAGCGAAAGAGATTTTTAAAATGAAAATCACTATTTTAAGGGCTTTGGAATATAATCTAGGGAAACCGCTTTCCATAAATTTTTTAAGGCAATATTATTATTATTTAGCCATCCTAACAGATAAACCATTTATAAGGATGGGAAAGAATTAAGAAAAAAAAAAAGAGAGAAAATCTAATTCAAAATTATAAACGCAAACTTTTAATTTGGCGGATACTGCTGTTGAATAGGTCAAACTGATTTCTGTATAAATTATAGTTACGACACATAGTGACAATAGGTGAAAACATATGTACGTTTATTCTTGAAAATTCAACGTAAAAATGTCAAATGCCTTTGAGAAATCGGTATAAATACAATCAACCTGGGCTTCAGTATCAAATGATTCTGCAACAAATTGAGTGAAACAACAAAGATTAGTCTCAATAGATATACCTCTGAAGAAGCCATGCTGTAATGGGGTGATATATGTTCTAATATGATGAACAATAGCATTATGTAATAATGTTTCAAATGCTTTAGAAAAGTTACACAGCAACGTTATGGGCCGATAATTTTCTATTTCGCTTTTGTTTCCTTTTTTGAAGACAGGAAAAACGTATGACTCTTTCCAAAGAGTAGGATATATTCCAGAACTAATCGAAAGATTAAAGATAATCATTAATGGAAAAGCAAGGACGCTTGCACAATCCTTTAATAGAAAAGACGGGATGCCGTCAGGCCCAGATGTCATTTTGTTTTTCATTTTTTGCAGAATGTGGAGAACCTCTTCTTCACTGAAAAATTTTCTAAAAACTGAGGTACAGTGATAGGAGAAAATTGCACCAGAGGGATCAGATGGGATAAAAGATTGCTGAAAAAAGTCAGCAAATGAATTAACGATGTTTATAAGACCGTTTATAATTTTATTATTGTACGTCATCGAATTCGGTATGAGATTTTCTTGTTTAAAGCTCCTAATATACTGCCAGAAAAGGTTCGGATCAGAAGGAATATTGCTTTCGATGTTTTGCATGTATGCAATATGGGACAGTTTGATCTCATTTTTAATCTCAGCTCTTAAATTTTTGAATTTATTATAGGATTCAACATCATTACTACGTTTATAAATAGCCCAAAGTTTCCATTTTAGCTTAAGTTTTTGAATAATGTGGCGATTAAACCATGGTGGGTACTGACGTTTTTTGAATCGTCTGCTTTTAGGAACTGACAACTCAAATATGTTGTTTAATTTGGAGTAAAAAAAGGAGCACGCAATGTCTACATCAGTACAGCTAGTAATAAAGGACCAGTCTGTGTTCAGGAGTAAGCTGTACAACTGATAAAAATCAGCTTTTCTGAAATTATAGGTTTTAAAATTGCCATTATACAAATATTTACCATGACACAACTTGAGGCAGTTTGTTTCAATTTCTAAACTCGGGTGATGGGCGTCTTCGTTAAGTAATACGTCACTAGCTTTCACAATTACACACTGCTTATCTGATAAAACTAGATCTAATAATCTATCGTAATTATTTGTAATATAATTATATTGATGATAATTAGTTAAATTTAAGAAGTAAAGAAGTGAATTAGTTTTTGAATCTTTTAATTGAGAATTTACTAAATAAGCAGAGTAACTTGGTATATTGAAGTCCCCAAGAATGATTATGTTATTACCTAGTAATGAACATAATGAGGAAAGAAGTTCAAAAAACAGTTCTACATCACCGGCACTAACTCTTGGGGCTGGAGGAACATAAACTACTACAATAACATTAAGAGTACCATGAGCCATGCAAATTTTTACAACCAATACATCAATTACTGGTAACGCACTAAAGTTTAAACTGTATAACCTCTTATCTTCTTTTTACGCCGGTGCTACTTTCGGAGAGCGGGTTCTTCTCGTGGTGTTTGCACTTACCTTGGATTCAACTTCGTTGCTAAACTCTTCCTAACCAAAAATAATAGGGCGCCACTCAGTCGTTATGGTGGAAAGGAAGGTTGGGGGGACTGAGACCACCCAACTTCACCAATGCTCTTTTTATTTATATAAAATAAATTAAATGGACTAATTACACTATAAAAAAAAACTATGACTTGAAATCAAAAAAATGTGGTGGGCAGGAGTTCGGTTGGTTGTAGCGTTTAGCAGTCCATGAACGCGGTTAATTTACCTCCAGGTTGGCGGTTCGACAGACTTACCAGGATGACAGGATGACACCTCTCCTTGACACTAACTTTTCACCCCTTTTTCGTGAACAACGACACCCCAAAACTTCCGTGTCTTTCTTTCTCGACCTTCTCTCGTCGCCGTCTCAAAACCCCAAGCCACGCTCTTCTCGAACCTTCCAGCTCCTACCCCCCTACTCTCTAAATGCGCGCGCTATTTAAATCGTGGTAACATTTTCATGTTACACTACCCCCCTCCTAAAAGAAAAAAATATATGACGTGCAACGAATATATTTTTTAACAAAAAGAAAATTCTGGAAAAACCTCTAATGAAACAAAATTGCAACACCTTATTACAAAAAAAAATGTTGTCGGGAACACTCTCGCTTTCGTCCTTATAATTGGGTAACTGCGCGTACCGAACGGTTAATAGCATAGAACGGGTATTAACTGAAAGTCATATGAATGACGCGGTAAGATGAAATGTCACAGCCGGGAAAAGTCACAAATTGGGTAGGTCGCAAATCGGGTTTCGAAAATCATTCCAACAACAATGAAAATAAAAAGGAAAGAAAGAGAAAAGAAAAAAAAACTAAACTGAAAATTGAAAGTTAACAAACCGAAACTAAAACTACTAACCTTGGGACTCGACATCGGAATCTTCGGCCGAAATAAAGGGCTTCAAGTCCTTTATGTGCCAAACACCTATATTTGCGTTGGATTCATCCACCAGCTCATAAGCAAGCTTAGACAACTTTCTCCGTACCGTACACGGAACATAACGCGGTGCTAGTTTCTGGGCGAACGCTTTGGATGCGTTGGACAGTACTTTATTCCGTTTCCACACTCGATCACCGACAAAGAATTCAACATCGCGCTTCCGTAAATTGTACGTTCTGCTGTTCCTAACATAAGCCTTATTCAAGCGCTTCATGACCCCCTGAAAAATACTTTGAAGACTCTCCAAGTCCCTAGCGTACTTCTCTCGGTCGTAAGCTGTAAGAATATCGGGATTGGTACAGACTTTCCCGTAAAATTCTCCGGTACACGGGACCACGCGTCCGAAATTTAAAAACGCTGGACTGAAACCAGTAATTTCACTAACAGCGGTTCTAATGGCATATCCGATCTTCGCTATCTCGGCATCCCAGTTTTCGTGGTTACCCTTAATATAGCATCGAATCGCCGTCCCTATCACACGGTTGTAGCGCTCCACAGGGTTTGCTTGTGGATGATACTTGGCTGTAAACCAGATTTTTTGGACTTTATACTCCTTACAAACTCTAATAAAATTCTTTCCGATAAACTGCTTACCGTTATCTACCAATATGAATTGTGGTACTCCATATACTAAAAAGACTTCGTTTTCTAAAAAATTCACAATGTTAGGACTATTAGCTTTTCTAAGAGGACACATGACGACGTATTTAGAGAACCAATCCACTATTACGAACAAGTACGTGAATCCCTTCTTCGATCTTGGAAGTGGCCCAATTAAATCGACTGAGATAATTTGCTAAGGAAACTGAACGATCTTTTCTTTCCCCATAATCCCCGGACGACTTACATTTGGAGCTTTCTGAGCGCTGCAAACTTGACAACTCAAAACGTACTTACGCACGTCTCTATGGACTTTCGGCCAATAATAATGGATCTTAAGTCTCGATAGGGTCTTAAAATAGCCTAAATGAGAAGAAGTGGGCTCATCGTGACATAATCGCAATACCTTAACGCGTTGACTTTTTGGAACGAATAATTTCCACTCTGGGACATTGCTTGTTAGATTGATTTTGTTCGGAAAATATTTAAAAATAAATTTACCCTCGACTTTCCATGATAAGTATTTCTGTGGATCGTCAAGAATGGTCTTTCGGATAGTGGCGTACGCTTCTTCAGTATCATCCACGGTCACATCTAAATAGGTATCGGTATCGACAGAGCTAATTTCGGCGGGAAGACGCGATAACGCATCCGGAACAACATTCAAACATCCTTTCCGGTGTACTAAGTCAAACGAGAACTGGTTTAGCCTAACGCTCCACCGGGCTAGTTTACCGACGGGGTCCTTCATTTTTTTCAGCCATAACAAGGAATAGTGATCAGTTATCACGGTGAAATGTACTCCTTCAACATAAGGGCGGAATTTTTCTAGCGCAAAAACCACGGCAAGGCATTCACGTTCCGTCACGCTGTAATTGCGTTCCGTTTTACTTAACGATCGACTGGCGTAAGCTACAACCTTTTCTTGGTCTTCGATGGTTTGGGTAAGCAAACCGCCCAAACCCGTATCTGAAGCATCGGTATGGATCGTAAAAGGTTCAGAGAAATTTGGACTGGCTAAAACAGGAGCTGATACGAGCGCTTCTTTAAGCTTACGGAAAGAGAGGTCAGCGTCTTCATCCCACTCGACTTTTTGACGTTTGCGCTTTCCCTTTAATAAACGATTCAACGGCGCTATCAACGACGAAAAATGCGGCACGAAGCGGCGGTACCAGGAACACATTCCTACAAATCGCTTTATTTCAGTAGACGTTTTCGGCACCGGATAATTGGCCATACTCTCAACCTTTTCGGGATTTGTACGGAGCCCTTGCTGATCCACTATAAAACCCAGATATTTTAAAGACGGGCGAAAAAATTTACACTTGTCTAGGTTAATCGAAAGATTCGCCTTCGACAGACGTCTCGCTACGTCGCGTAGTACGGACATGTGCTCGTCAAACGTTTTCGACAATATAATTAGGTCATCTAAGTATACGAAAACTTGCGGCTCTAGTTCTGGACCGAATAATTCATCCATTAGCCTTTGCAAAGCTTGAGCTGCATTAGTGAGCCCGAAAGGCATCACCGTAAAATGGAAAAGACCACGCCCTGGTACGGCGAATGCTGTTTTTGGTTTCGACGATTCTTCCAACGGTATTTGCCAAAACGCTTGTTTCAAATCTACCGAACTGATATATTTCGCGTCACCTAGCATGCTCAATATCCTATCTACTAAAGGCAAAGGATAATTATCCCGCACGGTAACCGAATTTAACTTTCGTCCATCAAAACATACTCTAAATTCCCCAGTAGGTTTTTTAACTAAAAGAATCGGAGAGGACCATGAACTATTCGAAGGCTCTATAACCTTAAGCTTCAACATTTTATCAATCTCACGATTCAATTCCGATAACATATACGGAGACCACCAAAACTGTCTCTGCTTGAAGGGAGGCGCGTTTCCGGTGTCGATTCGGTGTGGACTAACTGTAGCTCGACTCAGTTGATCGGTGTAATTCAACTTTTTAAATTCCCCAATTACTTCTTCTATTTTCTTTCGACTATCCGCATCAAAATCCGTAGATATTAACTGATCGATATCCGAATTTAACTCTGTTGATGCTTCTACTGCACCTACATGCGATATTTTTGGCTGCTTTCGACCATTATTTAAACCCGCACTTGAAATTTCATAAGAAAATGTTCGAAAGTCCAACTTTAACGCAAAAAGTCTGCAAAAATCACTCCCCAAAACTATTTTATGTATCAAATCAGGTACTACATAGAAGAAAATTTTATGACGCCTTCCTTGCAACCCAATCTCCAGTTCCACTGCGCTTGCAACACAGTGAGATTTTCCATCTGCGGTGATCACGGCCTTTAGCTTGGAAGGAACCATATTTATATGATATCGCGGTTGTTTAAGTAAATCTAAACCACCACGTCCCATAATACTGCAATTAGAACCAGTATCTAATAAACCCTCGACAAATTTACCATTTAATTGAACCGAAATAAAGGGCCTGTTATCCCCATCCCTTTTCGAAAATGTAGGAGCGACTTCCCCCTTTTTAGGACTAATACTACTCTTATAAAATTGACGCACAAAATTAACCCATTTGTTCCAATCATCCCGAGTCTGAACAAAACTTTTTACTTTAGAATAGGTAGTACCGAAACGATTGCTCCGATCAGCGTTAGCCTTGTGAAACTTTGGAAACGACGACCGGCCTAAAAATCGTGTTTCCGTTACTCGTTTCCCGAACGACATTTTGGACAAGATACTACAGTCACGTTCCGCAGACCACATTTGTAACAAAATTTCACGCGCTTGGCCACACAATTGCGGTAGCTATGATTTGGTTGTCGGCAATTCCAACAGATCAATAGGGTCTTCCGCGGATCTTCCTTGCCTTGTTTTACTTCACCCTCACCGAAAGGTTGTACATCTGCCCTCGACGGGACCACAAAATTAGAAATTTTCTCGTTACTGGATTTTTCCTTAAACGTATCCCGAACAGGTAGTGTTTGTACACCAGCCAACTCGGCTTCCAACAAACACGACTGTCGACACGGAACCTTAGATCTTTGTCTCAAACTAAGCATCTGCTCGATTTTCTTACCGATCCTAATTAATTCATCTAACGTTTTTGCCTCCGCGATCTCTAAATGATTCAAATATGCTAAGCCCAAATTTTTTTGGATTACTTTGACTTTAGTGATTTCTAACGGAGCACGCGAAAGGCGCGAGAAAAGTGTTTCCATCACTGCTACGTAAATTGATATGGACTCGCCCTTGCTCTGCATTCTATTTTTAATATCATCCCATAAAATATCGTCACAATCACTAGGAAGAAATTCTTGCTTGATCGCGTTCACTAACGAATCCCAATCTACGTATTTATGTCTAACAGCTCGATACCATAATAACGCTTTTCCGCTAAACAAATCAACTGCTGAGTTATACAAATCATCCTTAGTGGCATGTCGGGCCTGACACAACTCGTCAACACGTTCAAGAAATTGATTAACCCCTACACCTTGGGCTTCACCGCTAAACGAAATCCCCCACTTGTAAATTGGTACTAATTTAGTATTGACAACTAGTGGAAGCGAAGGAACTACTGACGGAAAAATAACGGGAGCAACCGGAGAAGACACTTGCGGCGATGCGGTGGTCTCTACCTTATCATACAATTCGGCCTCGAGTAGCGCACACGTTGCATGAGATTCGTTACGGAACTCCACCATTTCTTTAGCGTCGTGTTCGGAAAGATTGTCAGGAATTTTAATTCTAAGAACCCGAAGAGTCGCATGAGCAATTCGCGTTCGCAACCGTTTAAATAAAGCATCTTGAGGAGAACCTTCAAATTCCGGCATCAACTGTTTAATACTATCAATCGTACTATTAATTGATTCTACTTCCTGCTCGTAATCAAACTGCGGGTCTTTATACGCCAAAATTAGTTCTAGTGGTCGACCGATGTCTTTATCAACCGAACGCTGCAACAACCTCCGTTTATCATCACTACCACGCTTGGTTACAATTCCCCTTATACGCAACTCATAATCGAGCTCACCTGCTAGTAAATACCTTGCCTTAAAAGTGTCTTCCATATTAATATCACCAATGTGAAATGGTTATAAGACATCCAAAGCCAAGACATACAAATTCGAGATGTACAAAGTCAGGATAACAAAGTCAGGATGACAAAGTCAGGATGACAAAGTCTAAAATGCAGAGTAATTAGAATTATGTTCGCACGATATCATCAACAAAATGTCTGTCACCACCTATTTCATTACTTGGGCTGCTAATTGCCACACCACCGTACCATACCTCAACAAACTCCTATGACCTTATAGAATTCCACAAGTAACGAAGTCGAACCAAGTCGTAAATCCACCTACCACTGTCAATACCGCATCTGGCCCCACGCTACGGCGCCATTTTTTGTATAACCTCTTATCTTCTTTTTACGCCGGTGCTACTTTCGGAGAGCGGGTTCTTCTCGTGGTGTTTGCACTTACCTTGGATTCAACTTCGTTGCTAAACTCTTCCTAACCAAAAATAATAGGGCGCCACTCAGTCGTTATGGTGGAAAGGAGGGTTGGGGGGACTGAGACCACCCAACTTCACCAATGCTCTTTTTATTTATATAAAATAAATTAAATGGACTAATTACACTATAAAAAAAAACTATGACTTGAAATCAAAAAA